AGGTTTCTTGTATTTAGTCGCAAAAATAAATAAGAAAAGTGTTTTAAAAAAGAAAAATAAAACAAGTGGTGACTTCTGCTCACTTGGCTGGTTAAAACCAGTATTGTTTTTAAGGAAAATATATAAACTTTATTATCAAAAAGACAAAAAATCTTTTGAGAATATCTGTTTTTTGGATTGACAAAAAGATCAGTAGAAAAAGTTTTTTGTGAAAAGGATATTGATTTTTATAAAATATATTTATTATTTTATAGTAAATTAGAAATTTTATTTATTATATTAAGCAAATGATATTTTTAATTGCTAAATAAATTAAATATTATCTATAATGTTAAGATAAAAGTATTTGTAAATTTTAATTAACAAAAGTTTTAAGAAACTAAATCAATTGGACAGTCTAAATATTTAAATATTGTAAATTGTTATTAGAATTTATTATAAAGTATTTTCTTTTAAGTAATATTATTTTATATATTAGTTAATATCTTTTATAAGTTTTAATTATTATATTAATATTGTAAAGAATTTAAAATATTAATTTGAAATTTGTTATTGAACCATAAAGTCTTTTTGAATTTTTAATATTTGTGAATGCTTTAAATCAATTGAACTTTAAATTAAAGCAAATAATATTTGTATAAATGACAAGTTATAATTAGTTTATATAAATATTTTATTATTTATATTAATAAATAACAAAAAATTAAAGAAATAATTTTTATAAATTATTTAATTTAGTTTTAATTTTAATTAATTCTATTTTTTTTATAATAAATATATATAGTTATTTGATTATATTTAATATATTATTATTAGTTTTAATATTTATAATATTTATTTTATTTAACAATATTTTATTATAAAGTTTTTAAGAATAAATTATTATTTTTTTTAATAATATTAAAAAAAACCAAAAATAATTTTATCAATATTTTTAAGTATTTTTAATTAAGATTGATTTTAAAAAACAAAAAATAAAATTTTATTTAATTTTGAATTTTAATTTTAATTATTTAATTTTATATTAATAGATGATATTATTTGATTTAATAAATACAATTTAATCAATATACAATTTTATTAATATTTAATTAAAAAAATATAATTAATTAAACAATAATTTGAATAATTAATACTAATTTTTTTTTTTTAATTTTATTATAAATTATTTATTTATATATTTTTTGTTAATTAATTTTTTAATTACAAATTATAACTTTAATAAATAAACAAAAATTATTTTTATTTAATAGATAAGCAATATATCTTTTTATAAACTATATTTAAAAACTTGATGTTATATAAATAAGTTAAATTAAATTGAATAAATTTATAATATATATAATTTTTATTGTAATGATTCAACTGAATTTCATAAACAAATGACTTCAACTTGATTAAAAATTAAAATGATGATATAATTATAAAAAAGTTGTGATTCTTTATTTTAATAAAAAAATTAAACAAGTTTGGATAAAATGGTTTTTTAGACAAATATTCCAGATATATTATATTACTATTATATAATAATAACAATGATAATTTATTTGAATCAAAAATATCCTATAAATAAGAATAAAATTTTAATTATGCTATATAAATTCGCAACGATTAGAGTTTTTTTTTTTTATGTTGAAGTTGTAATTTGATCTCTCAAAGATTAAAAATTCGAAGTGGTGGAAATGAATAAATTAAGCAAATTGGATGTGGTAACTATACGTTTTAGATATATCTTTGAACCAAAGCGACGCGTACAATAGGCAAATTAGAAATGTGTGGAAAAAATTATTATGCCATTTTCTCTTTCATTCTTGCAAATCGGTAATTCATAAAATCTACCTAAAGTTAAATTTGTTACATCGCATCGCTGGGCGTATTCACATTAGTCATAATGTGGCACATAAACACATCCCGTGTGTATGCTTTATGCAGAACGAAGTTCGTCGTTAAGTATAACCTTGTTATTGACCTCATTGTTTTTAAAGTTTAAATCATTTTAGAGCTGCACATTTAACGTATTGTTTATATTAAACATGCATCATAAAAAATGATTTCTCGTAGTATTCCCTTTAAAAAAGTGAACGAAAGGAATAAATTGCACAAAGTACACAAATTTGCACACCGTGTTGGATATATTGGTGCATGGACCCTGCTTTCTAGATGGATTTTCATTCAACCTTTGTTATCTTTGTATATCTGAGACGTAAGAACTCAAAAATCAACGGTTTTTGCGATTGGTTATCTAATAGGGGCTGACAACGCACATGTAGAAGATTGTATCACGTAAACGAGTCTATCAGTAAGCGCGTGTTATAAAAGTGTAAAAAAAAAACATATATATACATATATATATATATATATATATTCACATACGCATCGGGTTGGGTAGATATACGTGTGATACGTTATATAGTAGTAATCTGGGTGTTGTTATTAGTAAAATTTATCATTATTTCCTTAACAACTCCAATGATCGTCTTTACATCAACCATGATATCAGTTATTAGTCTCTTCCGCGAATTCCGAGTACTCATTTTACAGTATAATTAAAAAGGAATCATGTCAAAAATGAAAGGTCTGTACATTAATATACACACATATATACAATATATGTGTATACACAATTTTCTTTCAAGGACTCTAAATTGGGGTCAGGAAAAAATGACCCCCGGATTGTGTTTTCCTAATTCCTTCAAAAGTTCCGACCCTGATGTTTTAATTTAGCCATTTTTTGGGGGTTCGTATCACAGAGAGAAATTTCCTTTATTCGTAATTTCATTCTGGGCTTTATTATATACTAATATATTCATATATAATACTGTACATAATAAAAATAAGCCTCTCGACTGCAAACTAACCACGAGATTAACTTCGACGTTTCTTCCAAGATCTGCAATTTGCCTTCATCCTTTCATGTCCCTCCTCTTTACAATAAGTTCGATTGCGTGAGAACGTTAACTATCATCTTACAGTTTGGTGATATCACGACTCAAAAGAGCGGAGAGGATTCTCCTACAACAAAAAAAAAAAAATTAAGTGACTGACTGATTACCGTTTTGCTTTTTGTACAGTCTATCAGTCTTACAAATAATCTTATTTTAGCGTATCAGCAGGTTATCAATTAAATAAAATCTGTGGTGTAATATAAATGACTGATCGTTTATAACAGATAAAGATTGTGATAAACTTTAAAAAAAATTTTTTTTTCACCTGTACATGAGTATGATAAATATACACAACAAATATAATGGCCGCAGCGTATGTTAACAATGGATAATGAACGTAATTCAAAAAGTCATAATGTAAAAACATGTTTCGTTGTTTTCGTTACCCGCAGCAATGTTCAATAAACGCGCATTCATTTATTTCTCAGGTTACACTTCGTTGTGTATATTATAAATCTAGCCGGTGTTGGAATTCATTTTCGAGACTACTTTAATGATACAAGTTCCCCTTCGGACACCGATTCTTTTCCCTTTTTACTTCGTATTGTCACCAATTTGCATTGCCACAAAGGAAAAAAAAAAAGACGAGAAATTGACCAAACAAATAACCGTTCACTGCCACTCTACCATTGAAAATCTTCTTTTCGCATTACCCTTCTCATACAGCTCCCACTTCAATTGTTATTGACTGAATGAGCCACTTCATACGCTAATTTAATTCATTCCGCTATTTTTCACACAACACCGCCTCACTCCGAGTGTCCTATTCTAATTTACCCCCAAATGATTACCTTTTTCTTATGCACCAATCTGCTGAGATTTTATCCGATTTCGTAAAAAAAAAAAAAAAAAAAAAAAAAAATACCTTCAATTTTCATTGTTTTCATATTATACAGTGTATATGTAATATATATGTATACATTTATATTGCGTTGAAATAATGTACTGTGGAACGAGGGAAGGTTCCGGTTTTTCTTTCGAATTCTGAAATACACATCTGCATTGAAATTCCCTTACGCATAATTTTCTATTCTTTTACTTTTCCACTTTATACTATTATCATCATTTGCATTGCCACAAAATATGAAAAGGTCAAACAAACAATTCACTCACTGCCACTTATAAATAATTTTCATTGAAAATCTCAAACACTGCCCCCTCCAAATGTCTTCATTTAATCCGTTGCTTACTAACTTACTAAATTACTGTACGATATACATTTTGATTCATCTCCCCCCAAAAAATGCAAAAAGGGGTACTAGCTTCCTGCACTTTCCGATCCTTTCATCTCTCATAGATTTGTGTTTATTGTATACCACCAATCTTATTATATGGGTTGTATTTACACTAGCATTTATGTGAAATATGTTAACATACTTGAACGTAATTTCATTGGCTGTAAATTTTTTTAGGGTCAAATAAATAAACAGGGCTCTTGTACGCTGCTTGATTTTACCGGCTGGCAAATTCGTTTGATTCCACACTTTTTACGTCTCCCGCACCGACCATTCCAACTGTGCGAGGTTTTTTCCAACCGTCCAGTCTTGTATTTATTATTCTTCTGTTTTGCTTGGTCTCTCCGCTGCCTTACACACTGTCTACGACGACGTAAAAAATTTTAACGTAGCAGCCTCCAAGTAATATATATTAAAAAAAAAAAAAAAAAAAAAATAATAAGAACACACTTTTTTATTTTTGAATCTCGTCAAGTCGACTTGATTAATTTTTACGATTTCACGATATAAAAACTTTTGGTTTGTGCTCAAGCCATTAAAAACTTTTTAATTTTTAATTTTATTTATCTTTGTAACGAATTTTCTTTTTAAAAAAAAAAAAAAAAAAAAAATCCCCAAAACAACAAACAACACACTTTGCTATAATTCCTCGCCAATATGCCTTACCCGGATAATAGGTAAACCATTTTTTTAAATCAAATTTTCTTTTTTTTTTTTAACACGCATCATTATCGGCCAAAGACATTTTGGAATTTATGTGTCGAAAACTGACTAACACTTCTACACCGTCGCTCTGTTCTTATGATGCAATAGCAACATAATGTTACCAGTAGCACCACATATGCACTCAAATTATGGCGGTTTTCATCAGCACTTTGGCACTGCAGGAGGGTATCCGCCTCATGCGTAAGTGATATGTTTTGAAAAAACTATTATCTTTTCATAGCATACCTACAGATACAAGATTTTTTCCTTACCCCTTCCCACATTCTGATGTGTATCTAGTATCAGATATCATCCAGAATTATTTTCTCCGACAACATTGTTAGTACTTTTAAAAAAATTTTAGCGATCAAATCTTCCGCTATATCCTCTTTGATTAATGTACATGTTTCAAAACCTTCCAACAGTCCTCCGCCTCCGCCACCAGCTTATAAATCAGAAATTCACGAATCTCATCCTAATCCACCCCTAATGAATCACAATCAATTAACAACACTCCCTTCCGTAAGTCCAGTTCCAGTGTCATCGCAGCCGTCTCTTAGTCCAATTACATCTCTTAATGGTGGAAATAACGGTAATGACTATCACATGTCGCATCATATGCAACATCATCAGAATAACACTCCTAGTGCTGCGTATCATCACTCGCCACCTCTCGAGCACGCTCAGCAGCCAAATCAGGATGTGTCGAACTATAGTAATAGCGTTGCGTCTGTTAGCATGCCATCTCCACCGGCCAGCATCCCATCTAGTTCTTCGTATGTATCCATTTCTTTTAATCCAATCTTTCAACAATTCTCAATCTTCTGATATTGATTTTGATGTGCATTGTTTAGTAATTTGCGATATGAGATAATTCTCGAGGCTCCCACCGCGGCGGCCCAACGCATTGATGAGACACCTATGACTTATCTTAATAAAGGTATTTATCGTACTGGAGAATAGATCGGCTGCGGAAAATGGTTCCTAATATGAATTTTGGGGGAATTTTAGGTCAATATTATGGTATAATCTTACAGGATCAAGAGAGATTTGATGGAGAATTAACTAGCACCGTCAAGGTTATGTTCCACGATGATGCACACCGAAAAATGGCGTCAACCTACTGGAGCTTTTGGCTAACACAACAAGCATCACCCAAGACTGCTCGAGCTATCGATATTGGTATATTTTTTAATATAGATTTAAAATGAATAGCTATTTCGCGTTGCTTTTCTTATTTACTCGTGGTATAACGATTTCTAGATAAAGCCGCGTCCACTGGAATTAACAATGTGGAGACAAAGACCTTTGATCGCGTACAATTTCGATGGCATGGAAAGAAGGGAGCAAAGATCTTTATTCGCTTCAATTGTCTTTCAACTGATTTTTCGAGAATAAAGGGTGTGAAAGGCATCCCTCTAAGGATTCACGTGGAAACCAAGTATGAAAATGGCACCAACAGTACCAATATTGAGAAATCGTTTGCAAAGGTCAAATTGTTCAGAGACAAGGTATCTCTCATGCACCTTAATTTTAAATAAATAAATAAATATATATGAGTTATTTATTTATTTATTTTATTTATTCAAGGGTGCTGAACGCAAAAACAAAGATGATCAAAAACATCTCGAAAAGATGGTTGAGAAGATGAGAGGTGAATACATATAAAATACGGGGGGGTTTCGTATTCTTATCTGTAATCATATTTTAACCAATCGTATTTTTCCCTCAAGGTAAATCACAAGAACCCACGTCGCCAATGATCATGATGTACGCACCACCTAATCCTGTGACCGTATTTACTGAGATCACGGGTAATAACGATGCCTCTGACGACGAAGAAGTTCAGAGCCTTTCAGAGACCTTGAACAATCTTGATCCCGACGTAGAAGGTGGTGAATTGATGACCCTTCAGTTGGGCAAGCGCAGGAGATTTTCGATGGGTCCCGAATTTTTGGAACCTCTAGATTGTGATCCCACATATATTCCGCACTTACGGAAGCGTCGTTCGGGTACATATCTATATACATTGTGCATTTCATGTACATACATATATATATATGTATCGTAATTGGTGACTAAACTCGTGATTTAATTTTTTGTTAGTTCTATGTATCTATGTCAAACTACCAGGCGAATCTGCTTATCGCGCCGTCTATCTCAACCATTTCACTGTCCAAGACCTCATATCCAAACTCACTGATAAGCTCTCTGAAAAGCTTGATTTTCAAGGACAAACCATTACCAATGTCATGAGATCCACCAAAAAGGGTATAAGCGTTCGCTTTGACGATGAATCTGTTCATCAACTTGAGGACGAGCAAGATATGGAAGTTGAAGTTCATGGCGGACAAGATGGAACGTTGCATTTGACATTGAAATACTAATATTGAGGGATTCCACTACTCATCAGAAGGGATTCTGTCAATGGTTTGTAAGCAACTTTTATTCGATAAGTTATGAATATTTCCCAAACTTTGGGAATTATTATTATTCATATATCAAAAAAAAAAAAAAAAAAAAAATCGAACTTGCTTTTTTATATTTAATTCTTCTTGAAGATTCAAGAGGACGAAGGAGGAAAATTCCGGTTTTTTTTTCTTCTTTTTTTTTTTTTTATAAATATTTATTTTGTTTTCCTCCTTCATGTACAAAATATTTTCACATGTTTTATATATATTTTCTACATTTTTCTTTGCATACTTTTTTGCATTCTTGTAACATTTCATTACCATTCCCTTTCGACATTGTAACATTTCCCTTTTTCCTTACCATTTTCCTTCTCGTTTCTTCCTCGCTATCGATATTCAAAATGATCATACTGGGTCGGGATTGGTTAAAATACTATTATCACTTCTGTATAGGGTAAAAAAAAAAAAAAAACAAAAACAAAAAAACAACCACAAAACAAAACTTCACAAAAAGGTACAATCTATTGAGGCAACGAGTTATAGTGGATAGTTTATTTGGGTTACTATGGTGGAATAATTGGTTGGATTTTTTTTTTTTTTTAAACAAAATTAAAAAATATTTTTAAAATTCAAATATTTCGAGTAAAATTTTTTTCATTAGCGTTTGTGAGTACAGATGAGATCGTCCAAGAATTTCACACGCAGTTCCTCAAGTTTATGATGCATGATAAACGGATATTTTGACCAAGAAAGTTCAATTATAGGTTCACGTGTTTACAATGTAAATTCTAGATGGATTCAATGTGCACATTTATTTCTATCACAAATAAATAACCAACTATTCAGACATCAAATTATCGTAACTACTTGTTCCAAAATTCACGTTACTATTGACACTCATATCCATGTCCCTGCCGACAGGACCAAACGTTGTATTTTCGAACAATTTAATTGTCAAGCTACTTAAAAAACACGGTATTGACCCACGATCAACAACCCAAAACTTAATGAGGTCATCCAAGCTTTTGATGTATTCCGCGTTTCCACCTCCAATTAACTGCATGGTACCGCGGTTATCGTCATCCGATGTGAATACAAAGGAATGATCGTCTTGTTCCGAGTACATGGATGCCAAACGAACCCTTCCATTTTCGAGAAATTCCAACTTATAACCTAAAAGACTATATACAGCCTCTCTAAATTCTTGTGCTTTGGCCTTCCATGCCTTTTATTGAAAAAAGGAGATCAGGATCGTTGTTCACTAAACCAAGCCAAGAGAATGCGTATATGCTTAACATACCTCCAATAATCTCGTGATGCGTATTTCTAATTTCGCGTTTTGTTCCGCCAGTTGTTTATTTTCTCCTTCCAAATTCAAAAAGCTCTGGATTGGTATGACATCAATCGTATCCTTTTGACGATCCTCATCACCGGACTCTTCACGCATTAGCTGAAAACCTTTCAATTTTTCAAGAAGCTGCTGATTTTCCGTTTTTAATGCCTGTAAAGTACTTTGACGAATAGCATAATCGATCGAGGATGGGTTTTCCTTCATTTCAAGTAGCTGAAGGGAGGAAAGGAATGGTAAAGTAAGTTGACAATTCGAATTAGTCATCACAAGAAATGAGGGTTGTGTAAACTCACTCGTGTAGAGTCTCGGTTGTATTCTCCCCTTCCGACAGCTTGTTCCAAAGTAGCAATTTGTTGATCGAGCGATGATACTTCTTTCTTTAATAACGCATTTTCATTCTTGAGTTCTCTAATGCCTTAGTTCAGCAATCAATTGATGATCAGTATGGAAATTTGGAAACCGACATACTATAAGCCCTTACTTTTCTGCTGTAGATCATTTTGCTTTATGAGTTCTGTAGAGTGAATTTTCAATTCGGTATGTTCAAGAACGGAAATTTGATTTTGCAAAGAAAATATTTCTTTCTTTAAATTGGCATTCTCTTTCTCCAAGTTAAAGTTTACTACATTATAAGTTTCGGTTTGTTAAAAAGGTATAGTACTAAATCACATCCGAAAAACATCATTATCTTCCTTACTTGCTTGCAATTCTTCATTTTGTTGCATAACCTGAACAGAATGAAAACTCGCATCCGCTGGATCTGAGGGTTCTTCCGCCTGCCGAGTATCTGGAGGTTCAGTCACTTGCCCTTCCCGTGTTTCATAAAGTGCTTTCTTATATTCTTTGAGGACCCTTTCCATAATCTTTGTTTTTTCACCGTCGTAATTGTCAGGTTGTAGATGCTTCTCTTCGTCATCGTACGATTTCTATTGAAATTTAAAAATAAATTAATACAAGTATAAACGTAGGAAATACGCACGATCTAACTCACCAAAGTATCCGTAAGCATTTCCACCTCTTTTTGAAGCAGCATTTTGGTTTTTTTGAGCGCTTCGAGCTCATTCGAAAACCTATTTTCGACAGCCACACATTTGTTGTTCAACTGCATGATCTAATCATAATAGTACAATAAATGAATAAAAAACTGTCGGATATGTTTTTATAAAATCATTGATTATACACCCACCTTGCTTTCATTTTCCGCGATCACGACATCTTTACTCTTTATTTTCTCCTCCAAACCGCGTCCCCTTTCTTGTAATAACTCAATTTCAATTCTTCTCGATGCAAGCTCCTTACAAAGACTGTAAGCTGAATTGACATTAACAATGTCTTTTTCTTTGTCAAGATAGCTTGTCCTATTGAAAATTTAAGTGATGAGTCGTTTTGGGGATTGCAAAAGATGTCTATCGAAACTAGTTCAGCAGCCCTTAGACATACGTCAGAGAAGTTTGAACCGTCATTAGAATAATTTATATCAGGTTTACATACTCTGAAACATTTAAAACTAGTCCCGGTAAACATCATTAGTGTAAGAGAAGCAGACCAAATACCATTCAACTTTTTCTTTTTTAAGCATAGCATTCTCAGCTTCCAGCTCCGCGGCTTTGCGACGTAGTGCATTCATATTCGACAGTTCATTTTCATAGGTTTTAACTTTTTCATCGAGTATCTGAATGCTTGGTGATAAAGTCTTCAAATGCTTCAGTTCTGCTGTAAGCTCACGCTTGGTTCGCTCCAGACTCTGTATGTATTCTGATTGTTCTACAATTTTTAAAAACCTACTGGTGAACATATCTCTCGTAAACATGAGTCACTTTTAACTTATGTTATTACCTTGATTTAATTTCTTCATATTTTGGACATTGTCCAATTGAGATGACATGTCATAAAATTCTTGTAATTTTTGTTGTGTCTCGGCCAATTGCGCTTGAACTTGATCTAAGAGAGCCTGCCGAGAAACCGAAATTTCATTCTGCCTCTGAATCTGGTATTTATAAGAAAGAAACAAAATAATAGGTGTTAATTCAAAGAGAGTTTTCTATGATCATAAGAAAAAAATCCTTGGTATATGTTGACCTGTTGATTCAAACTTTCTAAGCTGTGTTCTAAGATCTTATTCTCTGACTTTAATGCTTCAATGGTTCGATTGTATTCGCTTTCCTTTGTTTGATTGAAATTCTGAGCATCCTGTAATTCTTGCGTTAATTTACTAACTTCATTTCTGAGTCGTCCCAATTCACGAGCAGAGTTTTGCTAAATGATAGAATTCTTTAAAAAATATTGGGTAAACGTTTGGTCAGTTACTCATTTAATCTCAAATCATACCGCACTCTGTGAAAACTCTGCTTCGATGCGCTCTAATTTCTTTGACGTTTCCAACTCCCGATCGCAAAAGAATTTACGATCGCCTTTCAGTTTCTGTAATATCCAAAATTGGGATATCTTGTCACATCATTTCTGATACAAAAACGTACTAAATGTAAAAAGAAGATAATAAATAAATAACGACCTCAATGGATAAATTTAATTCCTTAATCTGAAGTTCTAAATTTTGTTTATCCGTTTCCAATCTAGCGACCTTACTTTCAAAATCATTTTTAGTATACTCTAGGGAAGCAATCTTAAGACGTGTCTCCGATAAATCTTTGACAAGTTTAGGAGAGGTACTGCTAATCGAATTTAAGGATCCTTGGGAAAATATGGAATCTTGAAAATTCGTGAAAATTATTATACCTATTAAAATTCATATTCACGTGAAAAGAATATGCTGACATTGAAAGCGTACCTTTTAAACCCCTAAGATCTGGAATGAAATTAAAAGACTTCCTTGAAGGAGTTACTGGGCTCGCACGCCGTTCCGGAAGATCCACTTCTACTCGAGTTCTCTAAAGAAAAAGATTAAAATAAGACACCAATAATAATTTTTCGCTGGGAACCCATTGTAAACTGTTAGCGAGATGTCTAAAATCGAAAGTTAACCTTGAAAGGACGATCACTGGTTTCGGACTGAGAAAATTGACTGAATTGACTATCCCCGAGCACGCTTGAAGCAGACGAGGTGGATCTTAGAAAAGGATTGCCTTCGGTGTTTCTGTCATGTCGTTGAGGTTGTTTTTCAGCTGATCGCTTGTAAGGAGGGTAAGATGACATCTCGAGATTGTAAGTTAAGAGTGAAAATTGTCAACAAACAACATTGAAAATAATTTCTGTATTTTTAACACGTGCTATTTATGTTTTTAATACAGTAGATAGTAAAAAAAAAATATGTATTTTTAAATATTATATAATTTAATATAATTTAAATATTAATTTTTTTTAGTATAATAAAAATCATATCTTTTACACCAACTAAATTCTTGTAGAGCTTGTCTTCAGATCTATACGTTGGCATTCGAACTTTAATCAAAATGAGCAGAAAAAGGGCCGAGTCGTTGAAGGGCTTGCCACTTCCAACCTCCAATCGCCCTCAAAGCGATAAAGAAATGGCTTCAATGCATAACTATAGGGAAAGGTTTGTTTGAATTCTAACAAAAAGTTGTACTTATTGTCTTGGAACAATATGTTAATACCGTTTCCTCAATCTTCAGCGGTATTCTCCTTCTCTCTTTAACTCAATCTCGGCAAGCCTGGACGAGTTCAATTTTGAAGAAGTTTTCCAGCAAGCAAGACGTTGTTTATCATCCCGTTTTGCCGGAACATACAAATCCAAATGCGAGTGTTTCCCTTCTTGGAAAATGTCATATTACCATAGGACCGCACACCTTCTATGACACAAAGATTTATGAAGCTGTCTATGAAGCAAGAAATCCAGACGTACAGTGTGGGAACTTGCAAATTCAGCCAAACTCACTGACTGGATCGCAATTCCAAACGCTACCTCAAACCGCGTCACAACCCGATGCACAGATGCTGCCACAATCATTAGCGCAACCCGTTGCCTTGCAAACTTCAACTCAAACACAACAAAGCTCAACGCAAAAAATAAATTCATATTCAACATCTTCACGACCAATACAACCAGCAATACAACCACGACCAGCAAATCAAACACAGTCACAGGTGCCGATTCAACCGCGAGGAACCGCCAAGATATCTGCTCGATCAACACCCTCGAATTCACCTACACCTTCCGCCGTTCCAGCTTCATCCATGAATACTCAGAACATAAGTTCGAATGTTTCTTCTTATGTGAATTCCAACTTAAGTTCTTCGTCTGCGAGTGGAAATACTCAAAGCATGAACGGTTCAAGAGTTGTACCATCATCTGCTCTACCGGCTAATTCTCAACTTACCGCATTATTCCAGACTATTACACCATCTCAAATATTGGTCATCCAAGAACAATTACGACAGCCACAGGCAGCAATCAATATGACCCCAGAACAAAAAACTGCCTTGATAAATCAACTAACCACGATTCATCAGTTATTGACATCGCCTCAACAACCTCAACAGACGCAACAACAGCTGCAGCAGATTCATTCGAGACCACAACCTTTAGCTACGAGATCCAAGCAAATAGTTAGATATGAGCTCCTTTTGGAATTTAGGGAAACTAAAAGCGATAAATGGTTGTTTCCAAAAGAGGCGGTCCTAGAGGCTATGTCAATGTCAGAACCTTACGACGTATGATTTCTCGGAAATTTTATAATAATAATAAACGTTCCGTTAGGATTCAACCTTATTTCCATTGTTGAAATTACTTTTAGGTTCTGGCGTCATTTTATCTACCACAAAATGAAGAAATGCATGTCTCT